TAGGACGTGTAAATGCTTGCCTGGATCGCACATATCGCTTCCATGCCGCGATAGCTGCCAGTAGGAAAAGGTTGCGTGCTTCCTGTTGAAGCGTGTCGGCTTGGCTGACAATTAAAGCTCTGGCATCCATGAGCCTAAGGGTGGCCATGGAGACGCGGGAATTGGAAGGTGCGCGACCTGTAGACGTGCGGGGTTGGGGAAATGCCTGTAGCATGGCGTTGCGCGCCTCCCTGTCTAATATGAGCGCGTGGTCTGAGGCATGCAGGTCGAAAGTTAAAGTTTCGGGGGGAGGCGAGAAAGTGTCTTCAAAAAGCTGTCTGGCCGACGGGTCTAGGTATGCATTGGGGTCGTGCGGAATACGCATGACCTGGCGTCCCTGGTCTTCGTTAGGTCGGAGCTGCAGCTTGAATTGGCATAATAAGCACGGAACAGCGTGGTCTAACACTGCGAGTGCTAAGGAAAGAGAATACTTGACTTCGCATTCGTTGGCAGAGGCACCTAAGGGTATAGCTATATAGTCCCTGCGCTTCCAGTGCTGTTTGAAAGCGGGGTCACGTGCTGGCGCGATCCACGTGCCTGCCCCCATAGGGTGTGGCACAAAGGTGGCCGGCAGCCAGAGCTTAGATGCAAGTAAGAAGCGATGGAAAAAGGAGCCAGCCGCGTTAACTTGCTCCGCGTGTTGTGGGCCAATGGCCGCTGATGTTTGCGTGCCCACTGCAGCATTGGAGTCCATTAGGACAAGAATAGGCGTAGGCTGCGGTAAAATATGGTCGTGCACATGTCTAAGGTGCTGCCACCATACGACCTGTTCGTGGAGAGGACGCCCTGAATGATGAGCATGTGCCACGAGGATGCTGAAACGTAGGCCGTTCTGACTAATGACTGCCGCAATAATGCGCGGGTCTTGGTGTACAATACGCACGCTGTGAGACTTAATAGGGAAAGTGGGAATGCCTTTGGCATTGGGAAAAACGGGCGTGGTAAGGTTGACCCATAGCGCACAGCCGCAGGCATGAGTTCCAGCTTGAGACTTTGACAAAAAGACTACGTACGGGGGAACCTGGCGCTTGCCAGAGCCCGTGTCTGTGACTCGCGTCTCTTGCATACCGATAACGTCGAGCCAGTTGCGTTGAAAAGCGGCGGCCAGTTGGTGGAGGCGTCCTTTGACGGCCACGCCTGTAAGCCTGGCTCTTTGGGAGATGCGCGAGGCAGGAGTGAGAGAGAGAATGTTGGCTGAGGCTAGCCTGAGAGAGCATGATGCCGTGGCGTCTGCGATCGGGGCTGCCTCTTTGAAGAGACCTGGAAAAAACATCAGCAAGCGAGGTGCGCGGGGGGAGAGGAGGATTGAGGCTAACTTGATGGTTTGGCGGGTAAAGCGCACGCTGTTGCTGAGGCAGGCACTCAAGCCAGAGCCATTCCAAAATATGCGCATTGTCTTGGAGAAAGCTCATGAGGGGCGGGAGCACTGGCGGAGGTAGAAGTGCGAGGGAGTAAAGTCTGGCGACCGTGTCAACCATTTCGTTGAGCGGGTCGGCTTGGTGACCGTGCACATGCTGCCATGTAAAGTGGCGTTTTAGGCCAAGTACCTTGCATAGACTGTCGAGGCGGCTTCTATGCTCCATTCGTGGCTCAGCCACTGCACCGCCTTTGGCGGTGGCGACAACATCCATGTTGTCTGAGTGAAAGGTGATAGGAACGGCGGGAGGGAGGGGGGGCTGTAGAGCCCATAGCGCCGCCCAAGTGGCGGCATCGAATTCCGCTTTAGCGGAGACTCTATCTTCTCCCATAGTCTCCGGGGTGGGACACCCTAGGAATCCTAGAAAGTGTCGAGTGCCGTTAAGCCATGCAAAGACCAGAAAAGCCCACGCTGGTGGGCCAGCAAGATCTCCTTTGGAGGCCCCTCCGCTGGCGTCGGTATATATATATATATATATATATATATCCGCGGAGTCAAAAGCCGCGTAGGGAGTATCAAAGACAAAGCTGTGCCATGTGGGGATGGAGGAGGAGTGGAGGGCTGGAAAGATGACATCGAAGTCCCTGACCAGCTGTATGGAGGTAGCCGTAAGCACCGGTAGCATCCACCTCATGGGCGGGAGTGGGCTGCGGCGTATACCTTGCCGCCCCCCCAGGTTCACCCGTGGGCAGTGTCCGGGGGAGCGACCTGAAAAACCGTGCCGTCGCGCGCTGCCTGGGCTAAATCGTCCTGAGCAGCTTGTGCCGCGTGGGCCTCAGCTTCAGCACGGAGGTCCGCAGCCTCTGCTTCTGCCATTGCCTCTGCAGGGCTGCGTGGGGTAGACGAGGCGGATGCCCCTGCACGTGCCTTTGGCTCATCCTCGGCTGTCTCGGGCCTGGGGCGACGTGATCCACGAGGGCTCTTGCTGCGTGCTGCCTGCCTAGCTACAAAATCTTCCTCGCTGATGCCTGATAGCGCGCGCTGCTCGGCCTGACCCGCACGTGCGGGTCTGCCCCTGGCCTGCGCGCTTGCGCTGCGGCGGGGGGATGCCATGGAGACTGGCTCGCCTTTTTCATCGGAGAGGTCCCACCCAATCTGGCTGGCAGAGCGGGTAGGTGGGGGCATGCCGCTGGGATTCTCTACGGAAGCTGATGCCGGGCTTTGCTGGTTGATAGCGTCTTCCCTAACTGAGCTATCTTGAAACGAGGGCGCAGTGGTGATCGCCTCCCCTGTCGGCGACTTGGGCACTGGCGCCGGCCCGGGCTTGGGCACGAAACCTAGGCGGAATAGCGGGCCTGCTTTGGGGGAAGCGCGGGCCTGTTCACATCCTAACGGCGCTGTGGCCCCCCCTCGGACCGCAGCGCCGTGGCTAGAGGCGGCGGCTGGCACTAATTGCCCGGCCTTGATCTGTGAGACTAGGGTTTCTACTGAGTTGCGCATGGCTTGGGCCTGGGAGTCAAAATTTGCCTTGATGGTGGCAACTTCCCCGGCCATGGCCTCGGCGTTGCTTTGCATGGCCGCAGAGAGTGATGTGATGTAAGGCTGTTCCAATCCTTGGATGCCTGGAAGGGGCGCTGGGCAATGGAGTAGTGGGGGAGAGGTCGGCGCTGCCGTGAGGGGCGTGGCCGTTCCCAGGTCATGTGGGTCGGCTTGCTCCTCGCCTGTATGCGTTGCAGAGAGTGTCGCAGTGCGCTGCACTGCACCTGGCTCCTCCGCCGCGTCCCCCATCATGAGCGAGTCAGTGATGGCGGCGACTGGCGGTGCTTGCGACTTGAAATAAGCTAGTAGCATGGCAGCCTGGCTGAGGTCCGCTTGTGCGGTCTGAAGGGCCAGGGCAATGTTGCGCACGTGCTCCTCCGCCTGCGTTTGTTTGGCTGCCAATTGCTCACAATTGGCCTGCAGGGAGGCCACCACGTGCTCTTGCTCGCTAATCTTGGCCAGCGGATCCCTCGCGTTGGCCAATTGAAAATTAACTAGTGAAATCTCCTTACGGATCTCGGTGATACACATATCGGAGTGTCCTAGGAGAGTTGAGGCCCTAAGCTGCAGGATTAGTGCCTCCTTGCCCATTGCAAGGGCCTTGCGGTGCTCCAGCAGGCGGTCGGGCTCAAGCGGGGGGTAAAGCCAGGCTGAGTGAGAGTGCGCCTCGTCTGGGGTAAGGGTAGGGCACTGCGCTGTGAGCTCCGCCTCCGAGAGTTCGGTGGCGGGATCCAGCGCTCAGGCCTGTTCGGCCGCGAGGAAAGGAGACTGCTGTACAGAGGTAGGGCCGAAGAGTGTAGGGGGAGTGGCCACGCCGTCTTGAGGAGGCGCAAAAGGGGAAGGCAGTGACTGGGGAGACTGCCCTATGATGCCTGTGTCCTTGGCCCCGTGCGGGGTGCCAGGAGCCTTCAATGGAGGCTGCTCCGCGTCTCTGCGCTGGTACTCGCGAGCTCTACGAGCGTCGTCCTTCTCTCGCTTCTTGCGCTCCTTGTTGGAGATCCCAGCCTCTTGGACCGCATGATCTCCTGGGGGCGCGGGGAGCAGGCCGTATTCCGCTGCCCATGCAGCCACCTGGTCGAAGGACGGCGCACCTGTCGGCGCGGGGCACTTGCCCTGGTGCATCCCCCCCGTGCTGCCTGAAAAGGAGCGAGGGCCCTTGTGGCCCGGCCCCGCGCCTCCATCATGCAGGGGCCTGTGCTGCCCCTGACCTTTGACTGGGCCGACCTTCGCTTGTTGGTGACCTGCGGCCCGAGTCGGAAAACAGTTGGGACATGAGGCATCCAAAGTGGTATTGGCCCGGCCACATTGCAGGCAATACCAGAACTCGGGCGGGGCGCTGCCTTTCTGGTGCACTGGCTGCTGGGGTGGAGGAAAAAAGTCCAAGGGCAGGCGCGTGGCATAAAGAGACGGTGAGGGAGGGGCAGCCAAGCGCTGGGTGGGAGAAGTAGCCATGCCGTGCTGCTGCAGCCCAGATAGTGGCGCATGCTGAGGGGGTAAGGTAGGGGGAACAGCGCCTTGCTGGGGGATGCCCTGAAAGGAGTGGTGCTGTGAAAGCATCATCGCGGCCTTGTGCACCCTTAAAAGCGTGCGGGCGTTGGCGCGCTGCTTGCGCGCTCTACGATGAGGAGCGGGCTCGTCACGAGGCCGCTGGGGATAGGAAGGAGGAGAGTAGGCAGGCGTCGCGCCTGTCGGATGGCGGCCCGATGGGGCGTCGCGGCGGGGATCGGCGCGGAACCGGTTATGCAACCGCTCGAGCCAAACCTGGAGGAGGAGGAGGGAGGAGGGAGGAGGAGATGGAGAAGGAGGAGGAGGAGCAGGAGGAAGAGCAGGAGGAGGAGGAGTGGTGCGCGCAACGAGGGGACAGATGACCCATCCGATCCCTCGACTGAATGTGGGGTCCCAGGAATCTCGACCCCTTCCCCAAGGCCAGATTTGGGTCCCGAATATTTGTCTTACTCTTCCAGGGCCAAGCGAGGGCCCTTGGGGGCCGAAAGCGGCAGTGTTTTTTTCAACACGCTTGGTGTCTGCGGACGACGACGACAGACGCGAACGAAGAGGACGACGAGGGCACCTTGAAGTACCGCACGATGTTGTCCCGCAGCGTGGCGATGAACTGCTCCGAGTGAGCCACCTCGGCCAGGCAAGCCGGGAGCGTCACCCGACGCCGCCTCCTCCTCCTTCCTGCAACTTCCTGCTCCTCCTCCTTCCATTCCTCCTCCTCCTCCTCCTCCTCCTCCTCCTCTCCCTCCATCTCCTGCTCCTCCTCCTCCTCCTCCTTCCTTCCCCTCCTCCTTCCTTCCCATCCTCCTCATCCTCCTTCTGCTCCTCCTCCTCCTCCTTCCCCTCCTCCTCTCCCTCCATCTCCTGCTCCATCTCCTGCTCCTGGGCCCCTCGTGCCGTGGCAGACCACAACAACACGACGGGACAGGTTGGTCGAGCGTTCGGCCTCAGGAAGCCCTCGCGGGGCCCTAAGGGGCCCTGAGGCCCGGGTCAAAATCCTTCGGCAACCAAGGCTCCACGTACTCCCTTCCCATGTCCTCCATATCCTCCACATCCTCCTCCTCCTCCTGCTCCTCCAGCGCGCTATTGCTGAGGCCAATAGCACTGTTGTGCAGGTGGGGCCCCGTTCACTTTACGTCTCAGGTAATCCTTCCAGGTAATCCTCAATGTCCCCCTCCTCCCCCTCTGGCAGCCCCAAGGACCCGCAAGAGAGAAACCTTCGGAAGCAGCCGAAGATCGCCGAGGCTCGCGGGAAGCGCCCACGAGGGGGAGAAGGTCGAGAAGAGGCGAAGGACATGAGGACGAGTGGGGCGGCAGGAGATGCAGAGAAGAGTACCATCAAGAAAAGAAAGGGCGGAAATTGAGGAACGCGCGCTCATCCCCGCTTCGCGAGGCATAGCGCTAAACCGTTATGCAAACTGTCGTGGCATTCGCACGAATGCTGCACGAGACATCTCTTGCCAGCTTGCCGAAACACCTTCTCCTTCTCCTCCTCCTCCTCCTCCTCCTCCTCCTCATCATCATCATCATCATTATCATCATCATCATCATCGTAATTATCATCAGCATCAGCATCAGCATCATCAGCATCAGCATCATCACCACCATCATTATCATCATCACCACCACAAAGGCCACAACCACTACCAGCAACACCATCATCATCATCATCATCATCATCATCATCATCATCATCATCATCATCATCATCACCATCATCATCATCATCGTCACTCTGATCATCATCCGCATGCTCAGCCTCATCTTCATCATCATCCTCATTACATTCATCATTACTGTCCTCATCCTCATCCTCATCATCATCAACATCATGCTCAACAACATCAGCATCACCACCACCATCATCGTCATCAACATCGTCACCATCACCACCACCACCGCCATCATCATCAACAGCATCATCAGCATAACCGTCGTACTCATCATCCTATCCATCACCATAATAATCACCATCATCATCATTACCATCGTCACCATCACCACCAGCATCATCATCACCATCATCATTATCATTACCACCATCATCACCATCATCACTACCATCACCATCACGATCACCATCATCAGAACCATCATCATCATCACCACCAGCACCATCACCATTATCGTCATCATCGTCATCATCATCTGCCCCCTTTCCCCCCTTCCCCCCTGCCCCTCCTTTGCCTCTGTCCACCTCTTCTGTGACCCCTCTCCCGCCCAGGTCTCTCTGGAGGTCTGAGCAACGATTCCTCGGGAGAGCTTCAAAGGTTCCCCGGAGGCCTCAGAACGCCTGCCCCTTTTTCCCCCCCCGCAGGCCCGAAGAAGGCCAAACGCACCGCAAAATCTACAACCATCGTGCCACCCTGAGGCACGGAACGAAGAGGCCTTTTCCGCCCGCAGCGAAGTTCAATCATGAGTATGGGTTTCTCGATCTGACCAAAGGAACGGCCCAACGACCAGAGCACTTCCCGAGCTCAAAGAGTGGTCCTTATCTCAGCGTCGTGCCCGCAGATCTTCAAACCTCGTCCCTCCTCCTGCCCCCCCCGCGCGTGGGGCAGTGCGCAGAGCTTGAAGGCGCGCGCGGAAGAGCGCGGAGGAGAAAGAGAGAGGAGGGATGCGGCGGCGGCGGCGGACGATGGCGGCGTCGTGAAGACACGCCCTCGTAGGGCCTTTGGGGGCCCAGAAGGATGATGTTCAGGTCTTCTGGGGCCAAGGCGGTCGAAGAGAAAGCCCAGCGGGCAATGCAGCGTTTGGGCGGTTCCTTGGCCGAGGGAGGAAGGATGAAAGAGGGAGGATGAATGGATGGACCCAAACATCCATCGCCCAGTCTTTTGTTGGTGCGTTGGCCCCAGAAATTATTATTAATCTTGTTCTGAATCGTGTTGCCATTAGTAGGGTTACTACTATTATTCTTGTTCGTATGATTATTAATATGTTTCTTCTTTTTCTTCGGATCTCGGGAAGAGGTGCTGCCACCCACCATTTGTTGTTGCTAATACCTGCGATCACTGCCATCCCGCGTGCACCCACCGGTCACAAAAAGGGAAATTCAATTATACTTTTCCGTGCCGGCCTCGAGCCGTTGTCGTGCGGGCCCCGGGGCTATCGCGAGACCAGCCCCCAGGGGTAAAAACAGCGGCGACGAGCCCGCGCCTCGATCCTGTCGAGGCGCCCGAGGCCCTGAGATGGGGAGGTGGGGCGTGGGAGAAGCGAAAGGGAGGGGAGGAGAGGGGGGGAAACCTCGTGTTCGCTTTCCTTCCTCCCGACAAACACACACAAACACACACACACACACACACACCCACACACCCACACACCCACACACACACATACACACACACACACACACCACGCGGCCTCTCCGTCTTGCGCCCCCCGCCGCTCGGCGACGCTTCCGACGAAAACAAGCGGCGTTTTTCCTCAGGAGTGAGCGCGGGCAGGCGGGCGTGCACCACTGCTTGCGCAAAACTGTCCCCACACGGGCGCAGCCCAGCGCAGCGCCACCGCCGCGTTCCACCAAAGGGGCCCCGGCGTGGGCGGGCTGGGCGCCCGCGCCCCGTGGCGGCTGCCCAGAGAGCGCGTGGCACTCAGAAGGCCCGATGCCGAAAGAGGCTGGCGTGGAGGTGGCAGAATGCAGGCCCAGGCCCGGAGTCGGGGGGGAAGGGGGGGGGGGTAGCAGAGCCGAGCAGGGGCCAGGTGGGCCGACAGGAGGCCAGGGTGACGAGGGCGGCATGGGGGGGCGGGGGCGGGAACGGACGGGACGTGCGCGGAGGAGGCGCCCTCCGTCCACCCCGCGGACCTCGAAACCACGGGTGAATCCGTCGGCCTCGCGGCCGCGCAAAGGTTTGAGTTGGCGGCGCATCGACTCGAAAGACGGGGCGCGCGGCGCGAGCCCTTCCTGCGTGCAGCAGGTAAGCCCGTTCAGGCAGCGCCCAGCCGACCTCCTGCCCTAAGAATCAGCCTCGCGAAACTGCTGCAACATCGCGAAAAATCGCGACGGGAACCAGAGACCCCAGATCCCACCTGCTGTTTAGTTCTCCAGGCCAGATCGATCTGTAGGGGCCGCGGGGCCCGAAGCTGGGCGGCAGCGCCCGCGGTGGAACACGGCCACGCCAGGGTCTGAGCGCGCGCCCCGCCCTCCCCCCGCGAGCCCCGCCTCTCCCGCCCGAGATGGCCCGCTGCGGAGGCGGCGAAGGCGGAGGCCATGACCAAAACGGAGCGCGGGAACGCCGTGCCGATTTGGGCGCCCGGAATGGGTACGGAAAAAACGGGTACAATGCTCGACAACAAGTGCTGTCCCAAGCCGACAGCGGCCGCTGCTGGGCAGGCGGCCTTCTGTCTCGAATGGACACATGCCGCGGCGGCGTGGACAGCGACCCCTGTTCGAAATGAACAGGATCCGCTGTTGGGCATTGTGCCCTTTCTTTCCGTGCCCATTTCGCTCGTGCAGGGCCGATCTTGGTCACCGCTACTCCCGGTCAGCGCCATGACCAGGGTCGGCATCGATCCGACGAGGATGGGGCAGGGGACCCCCCCGCACCGAACCTCTGCGGGGGGTCCCCTGCCCCATCCTCCCCAGACCCCCGACGTCATGACTTTTTCATTACGTCGACCCCTGGAGGTCTCGACCCATTCCCCTGGACCGGTTTTTCATCCTGAACCGTTGTTTGACTGTCCCGAGGGCCGGTAAGGGCACCCAGGAGGCCGAAAATAGCGAAAAACCTCCCGACATGATTTTTGCATTACTCGAGGAAGTCTGGGTCGTCGGGAAACGCAGTCGCGGCGCGGCGGCCGCGCCGACGCGCCCCCTCTCTGTGCGCCGCCCTGCTGTGCTGCGAGTGCACGCGCGGCCTGCCCCGTCAGCCCCGCATGCCCAGCCCCACCCTGCCCAACGCCAGGGCAGGCCAGAAGGTGCCGCGACATCCCCAGACATTTTTTGGTCGGCGGGTCGAGAGCGGGCCTCTTCCGGTTAAGAGCTAGGCGAGGCGCGCGAAGCACTAATTGGGGAGGCAGGGCGCGGGCGGGCGGGGCCGCAGGCGGCCGGAGGGTGCGGAGTACAGGCGGTGCCGAAGAGCTTGCACAGGAAAAGGTACCCCTTGGACAGGGGCCGGTGGCGACATCCCCAGACATGCGACGTCCTGATTTTTGCCGGTGCGGGGCCACTGGAAGTCCCGACCCTTTCCCCGGGCCTGGTCTTTCATCCTGCATCGTTTCCTGACGGCGCCGAGGCCTGACGAGGGGCCCCCCCGAGGCTGACATTGGCAAACAGTCTCCCGTTCGGATTTTTTATTTTTGCACGGCGCTACCATGCACGGCGCTATCATACCTGGGGCGACGCCCTGCTCGTGGTCCCCGTGCTTCCTCCCTCGACGCTGGGCGCCACGGCCCTCGGGCCCATCTCGTCCAGATTGAGCCAGTCGTAGGGCATGCCGTTGTACTCCACCTCGGGTGTGCGGGGCCCGGGCCCAGCGTCCCCCCTCCCCAGCCGCAGGCCGCTCCCTGATGGGGCTGCAGGCAGGCACTTCGCAGAGGATGGGAACCTTCAACGCGTGAGCGCTTTCTCATCCGGCGCCTCTGGGCTGGGCGGAAAGGGGGGAGGTAGAGGAGGGAAGGCCTGGCTCCGGGCCCGTGCTTGTAGTGCGTCTGTTTGCAGCAGTGCATCCATCATGGGCGAGGCTCCACCTGTTCGAAACAGTCGCCCAAAACAGCCAAGATCCACTCCATTGGGGGGGAGGGGGGGGCGGGCGAAGGCCCGCGCCGATCGGCATTGTTTGTTTTGTTTTTTCTCTTAAATACCAATTATCCCAGTGCGACCCTACCTAGGAGTGGATGCTGTGCTGTGCTGCGCTATGCTATGCTGTGCTATGTTATGCTATGCAATGCTATGCTCTGCTCTGCTATGCTATGCTATGCTGCGCAATGCTATGCTGGGCTAGGCTAGGCTATGCTGTGCTATGCTGCGCTATGCTATGCTGCGCTATACTATGCTATGCTGTGCTATGCTATGATGTTGCTTTGCCTTCGCTTTTGCCTTCACTTGTGATGTTGCTTTTGCTTTTGCTTGGCACCCAGGGAGCGCAACTGGGGGAACCGCGCGTTTGCTTTTACCTTTGCTGTTGCTGTTACTTGGCTCCCAGGGGACCGGGGGAACCGCCCGGGGCGGGTTACACTGCCCGGCCCCTTTAAGCCAACAGAGTAAGAACCCTTCTAGGCAGAGCCTAGGTAGGGAAAACTCACCTTTAGAAAAAATAATCAACGACACTCGCACAAACATGACCTTTTGGCGCCCCGCGCGGACTTGTTTGGTCAGCGCTGGACCCCCCGCCCCTCGTGCGGAGCGCGCCAGGGGCGGTGGGAGAGGCGCGGCCGGGGGGGGGGCAGCGCAGATCCAAGAAATCCGCGCGGAGCGCCAACAGTTTATGGTCACGCCGTTGACTCCTTCTTTGGAGCGTCGGACATCGAAAAAGAAGCGCCCAACATGAAGCGAGAGAGGGCTCCAGAATGGACGGAAACAGCCCTCGTTAAAGGAAGCAAGGCATCCAACGTGGAAAGGACAGGACCGACAGGCACCAAAAATAGTAACAAAGGCATCACAAAGGAAGGAAGAAAAGGCGTCCAAAGGACCCAGGAAACAACATTTGAAATGGGGGTATGACATATGACCTCCACTTGAACGTTGTTGACCCTGTCTGTTTGTAATCGTCTATTTTGGGGTCTGCAGCGACAAGGGGCTCGTTGCGGTCAAAGTTGCGGCGAGCTGCGCGGTGGCGAGCTGCACCAGAACAGGCGGTTCAGCCACGGAGGGAGGAGAGCAAGGGGTGCACGCCTTTGTCTGCGGCGCTGGCGGAGAACAAATCTTAGAAACAAGAAAAACAGTACCACCACCACCAGGGCGATCCTCGGGGACGCTATATGCCCGGAGAGGCTATATGCCCGGAGAGGCTATATGCCCGGAAAGGCAGCTTGTGGCGATCCTCGGGGACGCTATATGCCCGGAGGGGCTAGCGCGACTGTCCGAGGTGTGAGGTGGGCAAGATGCGAAGGGCCCGTGGAGGGTCTCCCCGCGGTTTCGTTTGAGGTTTTCCTGGGGACACCTTCCCTGAGATCAGACGTCTCGAAAACATGGAAGCATCGTGCAATTCCAGGACTGGAACCCTAGACCAAAATTTTCTGTGTCATTTCTCGAGCCGGATCGATCTGTGAGGGTCCCGGGGCCTGACATTGGGCGAGAATGCCCGGCTCGAAAAAATTGAGGCGCCAGGATCTCAGGGTTGGAACCCAGACATGCGACGTCCTGATTTGTCAATGCGGGGTCCTGGAAGAGCCCACCCTTTCCCCGGGACTGGCTTTTCATCCTGAATCGTTTTTTGACGGCCCCGAGGCCCGGCGAGGGCCCCCCGAGGCCGAAAGTGGTCAAAAACCTGCCGTCCTGATTTCTTTTACGACGCGATCATGTTTGGGAAGGCGAGCCCGTCGGCGCGCCCCAGCGGCCACCCAGCCGTCAGATACAGGCCGTCGGATACAGCCTGGGGCCCGCCTGGGTGTGCGCCAGACGTCTTGTGTCTCCTCTGTGCGTCGTGTACCCCGCCTGCCTGGCTGTCGGACGAGGGAGTGGCGGAGGAGCAGGATCGAGGAGAGATGATCGGAAGAGGGACTCCTCCTCCTCCGAGGAGCCTCCTCCTCCTCCTTGCTCTCGCCTCAGCGCCGTGCACATTCGTTTTAAACACTTGCAAAAGCTTCACGAATTGAGGGCGGTTCTTCTTCAAAATGTGGCTCTCGCCTTAGCGCCGCGCAAATCCGTTCTAAACATTTGCAAGAGTTTCGCTGGTTCCAATGGTCAACGTACCAGACATGGCGTTTAGGAAAGACTCCGGATTATGCGGGTGCAGCAATTATGTTGATTGGCGGTGAAGTCTCACAAATGGCGTTCTGGCACGATTCCGGATAGTCAAGACGCAGCAGTCCGGTTGATCCGTGGCCTTGAAATCCCGAGAATCATGTTTTGGCATGCTTCAGGATCTTCAAACGGTTGTCTTCCAACGAGGCAGTTCCCTCAATGGAAACGAGCAGTTTTTAGGGACCTATGACGAGGGAGCTTGGAGGGAGGGTTAATTCCAACATCGTTGATGACTCTTGGGTTTACAATGGTCTTCCTCCTCCTCCTCCCCCCCCCGTCCTCCTCCTCCTCCTCCTCCTCCTCCTCCTCCTCCTCCTCCTCCATGAACTGGTCCGGCGGCGAGCTCAAGGGGGGAATGAGAAGGGGCGGGCCTTCTCAGAAGGCAAGGAAGCCCTGGGGCCTGCTGGGCAGTCTTCTGAGCCTGCCCCCAGACGCAGAGAACCTCTCCGAAGGCGCGAGGGCTTCTGAGAAGTCCCGCCGCCTTCTGAGAAGGCCTTCTCCTTCTCACTTCCCCTTCTCGCGCGCCGCCGAATGTGGCTTTCGGGTCATATCTCGGGTCCCAGGCGGCCTCCAAGGATGATCGGGCACCCGGGGAGCGCCCTCGACGAAGCACAGCTGCTGGCAAGCATCCCGAGGCCGAAAAGCCGCCGAGAACCCAGGAAAACGTCGAAAAACCTGGAACCTCGAACCCGAAACGTTCCCCCCCTCGCTCGCCGCCGAGAGGAGCGAGGAGGGAGTTGGGGTGCAGGGCATTGCCGAGGGGCAACGATCGGGGGGGACCTGCATCGAGGGGGGGGGCATCGACCTGGAATCGGCGATACATCGCCGACACATCGGCGATTGCCCCCCCGATAGTGAATCCGAACGCTCCTGCGCAAGTCGGGGCTCTCGGGTCCCTGTCGGCGAACACTGGGCGATCGGGGGTCGTTGAATCCCCCTCTCCGCCTATCCCCCCTTTCTATCGTTGCCCCTGATTCGTCCCCCTTCGCTCCGTCCCCATTTCGAGATCGTGCCGGTCCTTCCGCCGCCTCTTCCCCCTGCTCATCATGATTGGGGCAGGTCAAGCAGGGGGGGGGGGGCGGCTCGGGGGGGAGGGGCAACGTCGAGCTGGAATCGGCCATGGGTCGCCAACAGGCCAACTTGTCGGCGACGAGCCCCCTGAACCGGGGGGGGGCTGTCAGGACTCGATTGGCGAGCAATGAGCGATTGGGGGGGGCCGGCTCGGGGGGTAGGGGGGAAACGCCGAGCTGGAATCGGCGATGGATCGCCAACAGGCCAATCTGTCGGCGACGAGCCCCCTGAGCGGGGGGTGGCTGTCAGGCCTCGATTGGCGAGCAATGAGCGATATGGGGGGGGGGGGCCGGCTCGGGCGGGGGGGGGGGGGGGAAACGTCGAGCTGGAATCGGCGAAGGGTCGCCAACCAACCTGTAGATCGACAGGGGGGGGGGGGGGGAAAGCGTCGAGTTGGAATCGGCGAAGGATCGCCAACCGACCTGTAGATCGACGCTGGGCCCCCGATTCTGCGCATCCGCGGGCATCTGAGAGCGGCTGGGCTGTCGGGCCCCGATCGGCGATCCATGAGCGAGCGGGGAGAGCACGGTCTAGTGCATGAACATCCACAGTGGGCGCAGATTATTTCGGGTTGGGCGAAAGTTTGAGAATCAGCCCACGTAGCTGAGTTTCCCGGCGCCTCCCGGCGCCGGAGGCGGCTATGTATCGAGGAATGGGCCCCTCGGTGAGGCCGAAACCAGCTGCATGCAGCAAATTTCGTAACCCCCCCTTGCCCAATCCCCCCGTTTCGTCCGGCCCGATATTTGGATCGGCGCCAGACCACCCCTCCCTGTCGCGCCGAAGCGCGCCAGGGGCGGCGCGGGGGGCGCAGCCAGGGGGGCCCAGCGCCGAATCAAGCAATCGGCGCATGGCTCCGAGCAACTGGTGGAGGCTTGCGTGTGCTGTTTTTCCCGCCAATGTCGCCCCTGATCCCCCCCTCCCCTAAAGATGCCACTGATCTGCGTCCCTCCCTCAACGTTGCCCTTGATCCCCTCCCACCGTTGCCCTCCTGACGCTGGCCCCAACGAGCATATCCCACCACTGACGTTGCCCATGGTTTTCGGGGGTCAGAACTCGGCCATCCGGCGGCCGTTCGAGAAGACGCGGGCACCCCCAGAACGCGCTCGGCGAGGCGCAGCCGCTGGAATTGAGCAGGGACCGACCCGACCGCCCCGGCATTCCTATAGGCCTACAACGACATGCTGACAAACAATGCTCGAGCGACAAAGACGATGTCTTAGAACATAAACCCGATGTGCTAAAACAACAGTGACACAGTCTCAGCCAGACATGTTCGAATAAGATTTCGTGCAGACCGCAAACCGGTTCACAGAACAGTCTTGGGTGGAGTCGAGCCGCGACGCAAATCGCCACGGCTCGATGGAAGGCGCCTCAGAAATCGGGAAGCCGACAAGAGCCTACACAAACGACCGAAAACCTGGGGCCTCGACCCAACCCTGGGACATTCCCCCAGACATGCGACGTCCTGATATTTCAGGACGGGGGGTCCCTGGGACCAGTTGTTCCTCCTGCGTCGTCTTTTGACGGCCCCGAGGCCCGGCGAGGGCCCCCCGAGGCCGACATGGGCCAACAACCTTCCGTCCCGATTCTTTCACGATGCGATTATGTATGGGACTGGAACCGCGACCCAACCCTGGGGCACTCCCCCCCCCCCAGAGCGGCGGCCGCTGCTGATGGGCCTGTTTTCCACCACCACCACCATAAGTTGGAGGGTGGAGGGAGCAGGAGGACGAGGAGGAGGAGGATGTGGACGCGGAGGAGGAGGAGGAGGAGGAGGAGGAGGAGGAGGAGGAGGAGGAGGAGGAGGAGGAGGAGGAGGAGGAGGAGGGGGGGGAGGAGGAGGAGGAGGGAGGAGGAGGAGGAGGAGGAGGAGGAGAGGAGGAGGAGGAGGAGAGAAGGAGGAGGAGGAGGAGGAGGAAGAGGAGGAGGAGGAGGAGGAGGAGGAGGAGGAGTTGGAGGAGGAGGAGGAGGAGGAGGAGGAGGAGGAGGAGGAGGAGGAGGAGGACCCCCTCTCCCTCCGACTTACGGTGGTGGTGGTGGTGGCGGAAAGCAGGCACACCGTGCTGGACGCGCGCCAGGCGCCACGCCCGCAGCACGCGGGGCGCCGCCCGCCGGCCCGGGGACGGAGAGGACGACAGCTTCATGGCCCCCCCGTCGGGCGGCCGCGGCCTCGCCCGGCTGCGGTCGTCGTTGCGGTCGTCGTCGTCGTCGGCGTCGTCGTCGTCGTCGTCGTCGTCGGCGGCGGCGGCGGCGGCGGCGGCGGTCGGCGTCGTCGTCGGCGGCGGCGGGGGCGGCGTCGGCGTCGTGTTCGTCGGCGTCGGCGTCGTCGCCGTCGTGGTCCGCAGGCTTCAGACGATCTGCACGTGCTCGGGCTCGCCGTTCTTCCTAATTAGGCTTCGGCCTCTGGGGCCCGTCCTCGGGCCTCGAGACCATCAGGCATGGGACCGGGGCGGAAAACTAGCTATCGGGAAGGGGTCGGGACCTCTGCAGCCGCGGATCGAACAGATCTCATCGCCTGATGCCCGGGGGAGGGGGCGGGGTCGATGGAGGCAGGAGGGGGGCGGAAGGGACGAGGAACTCCCTCCCTCCGTCGCTCCCTTCCCTCCCTCCCTCGCCCCTTGCCCTCCCTCCCTCCCTCGCCCCTCCCCCTCCCTCCCTCCCTCGCCCTCCCCCTCCCTCCCTCCCTCGCCCGTTCCCTCCCTCCCTCGCCCCTCCCCCTCCTCCTTTCATCCATCGCTCCCTTCCCTCCCTCCCTCGCCACTCCTAGGACGAAGCCAGGACGAGGATAACATCGATAATGAGAATCTCTGAGATCTGGCGGCTCTGGAAGATGTCTGGATGTCTCAGGCGCCGCGGGACTGTCAGAGCGTTCCGGAACGCTCTGAGAGCGTCCCAGAACGCTCTGAAACGGATTATCCTCGTCCTAGCCCCGTCCGACCTCCCCCTCCATCCATCGCCTCTCCCCTTCTGAGATCAGGTGTCGCGAACAAAAAAAAATAGCACCACGGATAATCACGACCAGCACCCGGGACCCCATCCTTCCGCGCCATGTTCCGAGCCGGATTGATCTGCGAGGGCCCTGGGGGCCCGTCACTCCGCGAGAATGCAGTGTGAGAGCAAAATTGCAACGCCTGGATCTCGGGGTCCCCTTTCCAGAGGTCGAGGCTTCCTCGATGCGATCCGAGCAGGTGGGGTCGGAGGATCGCGCCACATCGACGATGCATCGGCGACGTCGGTGGCGCATCGGCGACGTCGGCGCCAAGAAAGTGGGGCTCCGCATCGCGCCGCATCGCCGATACATCGGCGATACGGCGCGATCCTCCGACCCCACCTACGCGTCTTAGAAGGCGCCGGCAAGCCCGCCTCTTCTGAGAAGCAGGGGTGCTTCTGAGAAGCCGTCCCCCCTCCGACCCCACCCCAGGCGAGCCCAGATTCGAATCGACAAGTCGAATCTGCGATCCACATGCATCAAATCTGCGGCAATCGGCAGCCAAGTCGGGAGAAGACGAATTGGCAGAACTCGGCAGGCCAGTCAGCCATCATGGAAAATTCGAAACCCAAATCGGAATCCGAAGTCGAATCGAATCGAATCGGAATCGGAAGCCGTCGAAACCGGATCGATTTGAATCGGTGGAATCGAAACGAGCCCTGCCCCAACCCCCTCTGCGCGCGGCTGATCCCCCCTGCGACGGCGCCAGACCCTGAGATCCGACGCCTCAACACAAAAATGCAACATCGGGAGAAACCACGACCTGAGCCCCAGACCCCTCTGTGGCAACTCATGTGAGCCTCTCATACCATCTTGTTGACTCCTACAAGCCGACGCTGGTCGACGCTAAATCGACGCTACTCGACGCTAAATCGACGCTAAATCGACAGTAGTCGGCGCTAGGCGCTATCTCGCGACTCCCAGACGCTAACCGACGCTACTGATCGAAGCTAAAGACTGAATCAAGAGGACACACGAGGCTCCCATGATTTGCCACCGAAGGTCCCATCTGTCTGTGCAATGTGTCGAGCCGGATCTCGCTGTGAGGGTCCCTGAACCCGAAGCTGGGCGACTACGCCCTGGACGCCATCGTTATGCGTCATCCTTCAAGCCAGAGCGATCGGTGAGAGGGTCCCTGAGCCCGAAGCCGGGCGAAAACGCCCGCTGTGGCAAAATTGCATCGCCAAGATCTCAAGGGGTGCTCAAAATCGGGGGGCGGCCAAGAGGGGGGCGTCCAAGAGGGGGAGGGCGCAAATCATGGCCGGCGGCGCGTGCGCGACCCGGTGGGAGGGGGGGCGGGGAGGCATTGAGATAAGATAAGGCGCCATGAAAATCGGGGAGATATCATTGCCCCCGCCATGATATCCTCCCCCCTACTCATTGACGCCGCCATGATAGCATAGTGCTTTGCATGATTTGAAGATCAGAGCGACGATGCGAACTTCGACCCAAAGACTCTGGAGACGATGATCAGATCAGGGTGTGATTACAAAGTTCGCCCCCCCACGCCTCTGGGGGTGATTGAACCTAGATACACCACCCCGTGGGTAACGAATTGGTGAAGGGGGCGAGTCACCTTTGTTATCTGCGGCATGCGGTTATCCCACACATGCGACGTCATGCTTTTTTCAATACGGGCTCCCCGAAAGTCCCTTTCCCAGGGACTGCTTCTTCATGCGGAGCCGTTTTCTGACGGTCCGGCGAGGCCCGGCGAGGGCCCCCCGAGGTCAAAGAAGGCCCAAAACCTCCCGTCCTGATTTGCTTCTGAGGCGATCCTGTCTGGGACTGGAACCGCGACCCAACCCTGGGGCACTCCCCCACCCCCAGAGCGGCGGCCGCTGCTGATGGGCCTGTTTTCCACCACCACAATAAGCTGGAGGGTGGAAGGAGGAGGAGGACGAGGAGGAGGATGAGGTGGACGAGGAGGAGGAGGAGGAGGAGGAGGAGGAGGAGGAGGAGGTGGAGATGGAGATGGACGAGGAGGAGGAGGAGGAGGAGAAGGAGGAGGATGTGGAGGTGGAGATGTAGGGGGAGGAGGAGGAGGAGGAGGAGGAGGAGGAGGAGGAGGAGGAGGAGGAGGAGGAGGACCCCATCGTGGCCGCCCCCGGCCAAAGGCCCGCGCGGCGCGGCGGCGCGCGCCTGCTGCCGGCCACGGCCGCGCACGGCCCGCGCGGCTCGGGGCGACGGCGGCGGCGGCGGAGCAGGGACCGACCGGCCCAGCCTGCCGATGAGGACCAGGAAAAACTGAGCATATTCCCAGGGTGGAGGGCTCAGGGTGACATCTATATGGGCTTTCGCACCTCGAAAATCAGTCCGTCTTGTGACTCACCTTTTGCAGATTCAAACCCCGAAAATCAATCGAAACGGCATTTCAGATTCCACCCTTTGCCCTCCACTTAAAGAAAATTCGGAACAAAAACACAATCCCAGTCCCAAAATCGCGGGTTCACCGAGGACCCGGACATCGGGACCGACCGGCCCAGCATGCCCATCATAGGGAAACGAACTCTATACACCGACGCTTTTTCCGGCCCTGCATTGAAATTGGCACTGGAGAGCGGATCCTGGTGTATACGGGACCCTGGTGTATACATTTTTCGTGGCTCCCCCAGGACATCGGGGAAAAAAGTATACACCACACCACCCCAGCGTCGTCCCCGACCCTCAAAAAGTCCCAGGATTGAAAAACAGCTCGCCACTGGTAATGTGTATGTTCCAGTTTCCGAACAAACGCAGTCCCAGTCCCAAGATCGCGGGTTCACCGAGGCCCCGGGACATCGGCCAGAGACTTCGGGGTATGATTTGCGCTCGTAGTCGTCCCCTTGGCCAACCCCTGCCCCGAAATCTCCCTCCCCGAAGTCTCGAGGACCCTGCGCTTTGTTTTGGCTTGGAAAATGTGGCGGCGCACACAAGGGGGTGGACGGAAGGGGCAGGGCTTCTTTAGGAGGCAACTTCTTAGAAGGCGCCGGCCTTACATCTATAGAGAAGGCCCGCGCCTTCTAAGAAGCAGGGGTGCTTCTAAGAAGCCCTCCCCCCTCCCCCCAACCCCCTTCTGCGCGTGGCTGAAACATGAAAGAGTGTCCTTAGAGCATACACCTGATGAGTGAAAGCAAGACAGCCCCAGCCGTACACTAAGTAAGAACATGACGTGCACGACACAACAGGTTCGTAGAACGAACAGACTGTTCTGAGCACCATTAAAGCCGTGTTCTTAGAGGACGGAGCCGACGTATATAACCAGGGGAAATATTTCAGACCCCCCCCGCCTGTCCGGTGAAACGATGACGCTCTCAGCACCCTGGAAGCGCTACCTCGGCACCAGGAGGGCCTCCAGAGGGCACTCGGGGGCCAGATTCCCTGCATTCCCTAGGGATCCTCAAGGTTTCGACACAGATCCCGAGCATTCCCTGGGAACTCCTAGAGTTCTGAGCCACACTCCTGGCATTCCCTAGGAAACCAAAGGGATCTCAGCAAGATGACATTCCCTGCGAATTCCGTTCTTGGCCCATAAGGGGCCGCCACCGATTGGGATTTTGTTTCGTTGCTTGCGCGCGGTGCTGAAGATATCGCTCCGCGAAAATGCTTCGTGGAATACTGAATACAACTGCGGTGCTAAAATAACCCCGGGGGTTCTTAAATACTTCTCGTGGTTAAAACAAGACGGCAGCCAGAAACGTTGTAAGAACCGTTCGTGCAAACCACGAAACGTTTTCATAAAACAATGCGACAGTAACGAAACAATGTGCTTATAATATGGAACCGGTGTATACAACACAAGACAGCCACAGCCAGCCAATCTCTTCGTGCAGCAGGCGAGAGCAACACAGTATTGGCAGTAGCGTACTGCTCGAAGAACATTTCGTGCAGACCACGAACGGTTCTCATGCCATAGATCTAACAATCAACCGTGCTCTCAGAACATCGACTCTGCAGCCGATGTATGAAAGCAAGACAGTCACAACCATATGTGCTCTAAAGACATGCCGGGCAAGCCACAAAAGGTGTTTAGAACGTTATTCCCAAATATGCGGCGTCATAACTTTTTCAATGCGGGGTTCTTGAAATACCGACCCGTTCCCACGGACCGGCTTTCCATCCTGAGTCGCTCTAAGACTCTATAACGGCCCCGAGACCCGGCGAGGGCCCTTCGCGGCCGAAACCGGCCGAAAACCTACCGCCCAGATGTTTGTTGTACGACGCGATCACGCCTGGGTTCGCTGGTGGGCCGAGAGGCAAGCTGGGACGCTTCGCCACTGCTCGAGGAAAACGAGCAGGGAGCGACCGTCCGGAAATTCCTGTAGTCCTACCACGACATGTTCTTAGAACCCAGAGATGTTCTATGGAAAAGCACAATGTTCTTGAAACATAAATCCGATGTGATAAAACAAGACAGCCCACAATGCTATTACGACAAAAGCCCGATGTGATAGAACATAAACCCGATGTTATTATGACAAAAACCCGATGTTTTTAGAACATAAACCCGATGTGATAAAACCTGCCAGGTTCTAAAAACATGTTGTGGAAACCACCAACAGGGTCTTAGACCATTCTCTGGTAGGCCTATAGGCCCGCCGGGACGCTTCGCCACTGCTCGAAAAAAGACCACCGCGCGCGGTGCCGCGGGAAGCGGCGCGCGGCCGCCCGGCGGAGGCCCGGCCGCCGGGGCTCGAGCACCCGGAAAAGGGGGCACAGACGGGCAGCGCGGCGGAGGAGGAGGAGGAGGAGGACGGATGAACGAGAAGGGCGAGGACGGGGGCGAATGAGAGAGAAGGAGGAAGGGGACGGATGAAAGAGGAGGAGGAGGACGGATGAAAGCGGAGGAGGAGGACGGATGAAAGAGGAGGAGGAGCAGGAGGTGGAGGAGGAGGAGGAGGAGGAGGAGGAGGAGGAGGAGGACGGATGAAAGTGGAGGAGGAGGAGGCCGGATGAAAGCGGAGGAGGAGGAGGAGGACGGATGAAAGCGGAGGAGGAGGAGGAGGAGGACAAATGAAAGCGGAGGAGGAGGACGAGGAAGAGGGGGGGGACGCAGAAGGCGACGCGGCGTCACCTCAGCTCCGGGTGTTGCACTTTGTCGCAACGGGGCGCGTTCGTCCGGCTCTGGGCCCGGGGACCCTCACAGGCCGATGCGGCTCGACAGATGGGGCAGAGAAGGTCGGGTCTGGGGCTCCTATCACGATTTTCTGCGGTGCTGTATTTTGTGCTCGTTGCATTAATTTCGCGACGTCGAATCCCAGGAGGGGGCGCGGAGCACGAGCGGCGCACATCTCCGTATCCGCGCCGCGGCGGTCGGGACTCCGGGGCGTGATCCTTCGGATACGCCAGTCGCCCGGATTCGTTCCGCGCGGGGCATCCGCGAAAAAAACGCCCCCGCATCCACGGGGTCGCGGCCAGGGGGCCTGGCCTGCGAGGCCGTGCCTGCGAGGCCACGAGGACAAGGGGAGGAGGGCGCAGAAGGTGGCGCGGCGTCGTAGAGGGGTGGTGGGGGGGGCGAAGCATTTTTCACGCATGGGCAGAAGGTGCGCTGCTCCGAAGTCGGCGAACCCATTGGCCTTCAGCCTCTGTAGCTGGAGGCTCTGGCCTTCTGGTGTCTCTGGAATGCCTGGAAATGCTCATTCCTCAAGAAGGCCTCTGAAAACAAAAGTGGCAGGGCGGCCTCAGGGGAAGACAGAGCGGAAGCCCTTGCCCTTGGCCTTGCCCTGCTGCAGCGGCTCGAAGCCCGCCATCCTCTTGCTGTACGAGGTGTAGGAGCCGTTGGAGTGGCAGGTCTTACTCGCGCCCTTGCTGGGCGCTTTCTTGCCATCCATGTTGGCGTGCTCTTCGAAAACGGAACCCGCCAGAGAGGAGGCCAAAAGGTTGTCGCCCCGCACCTTAGGGAGTGTCTCGAAGTCGGCGGTGGCCGACCCGTCGTACTGCAGGGTGTTGCGCTCGACCATGTCCACTTCCTTGCGCTCCGTGGTGGTAGACGAGTCGTACTCCGAGGCCGTGAGCACGCCGATGGGGTCCGCCTTGCGCAGGGGGCTGGCTGCAGTCTCGTGATCGTCGTCCTCGATGGTGGCGGACGTGTCGTGCTCCGAGTACTCCGAGGTCGTGAGCACGCAGGGTTCGTCCGCCTTGTCGTAGCACTGTGTGTCCTCGGTCTTGAAGTCGATGAGCGGGGCGGTCTTGGCCTTCTCGACCATGGCGCCCAGCTCGGTGGCAGGCTGGCCGCCCTTGCCGTTGAGCAGCTCCGAGTGCGGGCTCCCGCACTTGCCGGCAGACGTGTCGCGCTCCGAGGTCTTGAGCACGCAAGCGCCGGCCTCCGTGAGGAACGAGCGTTGCTCGATGTTGTCCTGCGGCAGCTCCGCGTGCAGGTCCGTGACGTGCTCCTTCACCCGCTGGCCAGACCGGGGCACCTCCAGCTTCGTGAGCACGTCGAGCAGGAGCTCTGGATCAGGACGGGCAGCGAGGCGCCTTCCTGCGCGAAAGGCTGCCCACCTCTTGGCGAGGTCCGTGTCCCCCTCGGCGAGGAGAGCGCGCCTGACCTCCTCCGTGGTGGCCTTGCGCCCGAGCGCCAGGCGCGAGCCAGCACGAACGCTTTCCAGCCTCGATGAGGAGGATGAGTTCCGCTGCGTCCGCAACGGTGTCGAGGTGCGTAACCGTCTCCCCGTGCCGCACCACGATCTTGCGGCCAGGCTTGGCCGCCCGCGTCATTGCATGCCCGCGCCGCACCGAGCGGGGGGCTGGCCGCAGCTTGAGCCAAAATGGCTACGGCGGGGGGGCGAAGCAAGAACAGCTGCAGCCGAAACCGAAAGGAAGGACGCACGGTGAGGATGCAAAAGGCCCCTGGACCTTTCAAACTGGACGTCCCCGGGCGCGGAAGATGGCAAAGGACTGCCCGAAGAGGCAAGGAGGGTGCAGCCAGCCCGTATCGGAAGAACGCACGATCAAAGTGTGAAAGGGCCTTGGAAGGCCCTCTCGAAGCTTCTCGAGCGGGGCGCGGCCAGCGACAGTAGCCAGGGATGGACCCAGGAAGCAAGGACGCGAGGGCATCCTTGGGAAAATTGTCCATCCTTCTCATGTGGGCTGAGGAGGAGAAGGAGGAGGAGGAGGAGGAGGAGGAGGAGAAGGAGCAGGAAGAGGAGGAGGAAGAGAAGGATGAGGAGGAGGAGACGGAGGAGGAGAGGAGGAGAAGGAGGAGGAGGAGGAGGAGGAGGAGGAGGGGATGCCCCTGCTGACGCACTGCTTCCCCCCTGTGGGGTTTGCCTGTGTGTCCGCGCCCCGCGCTGCGCGCCGCGCGGGGGCGCGAGGGGCTTCGCGCTCTCGCCATCCCCCCTCCTTCTCGGGGGTGGCCAAGAGTGGGGCGCCCACGAGGGGGGGGGGGGTGCAAATCATGGCCGGCGGCACGTGCGCGGCTCAAGTGGGGGGCCAGGGACGTGATGAAGCAAGAAGAGTCGCCGCGAAACCTGGGGAGAGATCATGGCCCTCGCAATGATATCCCCCCCCCCGCTGGTCATCACCCCCCTCTTTGCCGCCCCCGACCTCCCCGCCTGGGAGGAGGAAAGGACGAGGGCCGGGAGAGAGGGGCGCAGGCGGCGGCGCGGCGTAGGAATGGCGGGGGCGAGGATTACCAGGCTCGCCATTGGGGATATCAAAAGGTACCAATACCGCTACTCCCTGGACCTCTCATGGTGTGCGTTCTGACCAGGATTTTGAGGCGAATCCAGCGGTGGCGACGAGGGCCTCCCACGAGGCCGAACAAGGGGCGAAACGGGGAAAGGGTAAGGGTAGCGGTATGGGTACCGTTTCCTCCTCTGAGCTGGTTAGGCTTGCGGTCGGGATCTTTTGCCCAGCGTGTCGCCGCAGCGGCCCCGGCGACACGCTGTGCCCTGCAAGCGGATATAACATGAATGCTCCGCTCTGCGAGGCGGGAGGCGAACTCCGCTTGCAGGGCTCGGGGCCCTGGGACCTCTGGCTCGAAAAATGACGCAGGAAGGAAAGGGGTATAGTCGACGGCGAGCCCGGGGACATAACTTCTAAGAAGGCGCGAGGGCTTCTGCGAAGTCCCGCCGCCTTCTGAGAAGGCCTTCTCTTTTTCATTCCCCCCTCTCGCTCGCCGCCGATATAGGTCTCTGGTTGCGATATTTTCGCGACGTCGGATCTCAGGGTAAACCCATCATTCCAAGGATGAGGCGGCCACCAGCGAAACATGTAGCACCCCCCGCACTTGCGGATAAAAGTGAGGAGGCGGGCGCGGGTGGGTCACGGGTGGGTCGTGGGTGGGTCGCGGGGTGGGTCGCGGGTTGGACGCGGGCTGGGTCGCGGTTCAGTCGCGGGGCGGGTTGGGACGGCGACAACAAACAGGCAGAATCGACGCTGCGGAACTCTGCTCCAGCCACGCACCCAGGGACAATGCATGACCGTTTGCCCCCTCACTCTGACCAGAGACTGCAGGGGGGCAGCTTGCAGGCACTGCTGCCAGAACCTAGTAGCTGTCCGACGACGGGCTGGGATTGGATCGGAACGGGACGCTCGTTCGGGGCGGTGGCCACTGCCTGGAGAGGCGGGAGGGACAAGAGGAAGGGAGGGGATCTCGGGTCTCCCACGTTATGTGGTCCTGCGATCTCGCAAGTCTCCCTAGATTCTGGACGCTGGGGCCCGCTATTTCGGGGCCCCAAAACCGTGTGGTGACGGACCGCGCGGTGACCTCGGAACGCCCAGAGACCTCACCGCACCATCCGTAACCGCACGACTTTGGGGACCTCGGAGAGGCCCCATGGCCGCCAGGGGCGTAGCACTTGGAGAATGACCCGAGTCCCAAGACTGTGCGGCGAACCCGAATGCCCACGGACTCACCACGCGGTGCGGTCACCACGCTGTTCATAGAGACCTCCTATACGGGGTGGAGGATCGCACCGCATCGCCGATATATTGGCAATACATCGCCGATACATCGGCGATGCATCGGCGATGCACTGGCGACGTTGGCGATGCATCGGCGACGCCAGCGTGGGGAAACACTGACTCCACATCGGGCCGCATCGCCGATGCATCGCCGATGCATCGACGATGCGGTGCGATCCTCTAACCCTATCTACTCCGACCCCATCCAGGAGGCCAAGAGTTCAAGGACCCCCGAGTTCTCGGGCCCCGGGGCCATCAAGAAGGGTCCGGGACGAGAAAAACCAACCCCGACGAAGGGGGGTTCCAGGGCAGCGGGTGGACCAACATCACGGCGTCACGTCGTCGGATGTCCGGGGAAGAAGAAGAGGGGGGGGATACAGAATGTCGGGAGATGTTGGTGGAGGGAGTGGGCGGAAGATGGGACGACAGGGGGAGGGGGGGCAGAGGAGGGAGCGGCAGGGGCCAAAAGGAAGGGAAGAGGCAGCAGCAGCAGGATGTGAAAGGGCGAGGGCGGGGAGGGCGAGGACGGGGCAGCGGAGACAGTGGGAAGAGGGACAATAGGAACAAGCAAGTGATTTGCAATACAAGGACCCCCAACCCTGTGGGAGGGGACCTAAGTTAGGAGGGCCAAGAACATTAGGGATAATCGGGCTTACCTCGGTGGAGCAACCGGACCGAGGCCGCGGAGCAACTGAAACCAAGCGGCGGAGCAACTGAAACCAAGCGGAGGAGCGGCGGAGCAACTGAACCCAAGCGGCGAAGGGCGAGGAGGAGGGGGAGGAGGCGGAGGAGTGGAAGGGAGAGGAGAAGGAGGAGGAGGAAGAGGAGGAGGAGGAGGAGGAGGAGGAGGAGGGATGATGACAAAGATTTGGCGGAGGTGGATTGTGATCGCGAAGCGTCTCCTCGCAGATGCATTGGGTCTGCTCGCTGCGCGTTGGGTCTGTCCCTCCTCCTCCCTCCTCCTTCTCCTCCACTTCCGCCTCCTCCTCCTCTTCTTCCTCCTCCTCCTCCCCCTCCTCCCCCCCCACGTCCTCCATCCTCTTGTTCCCCTCCTTTTCTTTCACATCTCCCTCCTCATCTTCCCCCTGCTCCTCCTCCGTGCCGCTGCGTATGATGGCGCCAATCTTGCCAGGCTGGACCCCCGTTTGCGCATGCGGCGCCGCTGCGAGGACGAAATCGTCCGCGCAGCCAGATGCAGCCAGGGCCCCTGCCTCGAAAAAGCTCCCAGACGGCCCCAGAGGGCCCCAACATGGCCACAGGCAACTCCAAGCTCAAGACTCCAGAACGGCCCGCTCGCCCCGAAGAGCCCCCAGGCAGCCCCCGGGGCCCTCCGACGCGGCCCCCAAAGGCCTCTGGGGCCCCCTGAGGTCACAGGGTCGTAGTGCCAGAGCTCAATGATGGCTCCAATCTGGCCAGGCTGGATCCACGTACGCATGCGGCGCCGCTGCGCGGACGATGTCGGGCCTCCCGCGCAGAATAGCCTCCAGGCGTCCCCAAGGCGCCCTCAACATAGCCACAGGAAGCCTCGGAAGGCTATCGGAAGGCTATCGGAAGCAAACGGGCGAGAAAGCAAATAACATGTATTGTCTTTAGGTGTTTGAGAGATTTTGGCTTCTTGGGAGCCTTCTTGGGAAGCTCTTTGGTATCTTGGAGCCGTCTCAGAGCGGTCTTGGACCCCTGTTAGGGCCCAAGACAGCCTCAACAGGGCTTCAAGACGCTTCCGATAAGGCCCCAAGACCAATGCTGTGGGTCTCTAGTCAAAAAGGTTTTCGACTAGAGACCACGTGAGCCATCTAAGTGCTTCCTAGGGCCCCTCTTGGGGCCCCTCCCGGAGCCTTTTCGGACCCCTCGTAAGGCCCCAGGCAGCCCCAAGAGTGCCCCAAGACGGCTCCAAGAGGGCTCCAAGAGGGCCCCAAGACAAACTCTGCGGGTCTCTCATCGAAAAGGTGTTCGACTAGAGACCAAGTGAGTCATCTCAGTGCTCCCTTGGGCCCCACTTGGAGCCCTCACAGCCCTTCTAGGATGCTTTTTTGGGCCCCAAGACAGCCCCAACAGGGCCCCATGACGGCGCCAAGAGAGCCCTAAGACGAACTCTGTGGGTCTGCAATCTGGAAGGTGTTTGACTAAAAACCAAGTGTGGCATCTAAGTGTTTCCTTGGGCCTCCCCGGGCCTTCTTGGACCCTCTTAGGGCACTCTTGGAGCCGTCTTGGCGCATTCTTGCCCCCCCCCAAAAAAAAGCCGCCATTTGGGGCGCCATCCTCGTGGGGCCCTCTGCCCTCTTGGTCTCTTCTTGAGCCCCTTGTGGGCAGTTGGGGCAGTCTGGGGCGGTTGGGGCAGTCTGGAGCAGGTTGGGGCAGTCTGGGGCAGTTGGGGCAGTCTGGGGCAGTCTGGGGCAGTTGGGGCAGTTTGGGGCAGTCTGGGGCAGTTGGGGCAGTTTGGGGCAGTCTGTCTGGGGCAGTGTGGGGCAGTTGGGGCAGTTTGGGGCAGTTGGGGTAGTCTGTCTGGGGCAGTCTGGGGCAGTTGGGGCAGTTCGGGGCAGTCTGGGGCAGTTGGGGCAGTCTGTCTGGGCCAGTGCGGGGCAGTTGGGGCAGTCTGGTGCAGTTGGCCCAGTTGCTGGCCCAGTTGCTCCGCCCACCCATCTCAGTTGCTCCGCCCGCCTCCTGCCCCTTCTGCGCCACCGGGGCTTTCTGGGGCAGTTGGGGCAGTCTGGGGCAGTCTGGGGCAGTTGGGGCAGTCTGGGGCAGTCTGGGGCAGTCTGGGGCAGTTGGGGCAGTCTGGGGCAATTTGCAGCAGTCTGGGGCAGTTGGGGCAGGCTGAGACAGTTGGGGCAGTCTGGGGCCGTTGGGGCAGTCTGG